ATGAAATAGAGACTGACAGAGTCCAACTGGTAGCTGTCTACAAAAAACTCACCTCACTGGCAAAGACAAAAAACTGAAAAGATGAAAAACAGCACTCCAACAAGCAAGTGGAATCCAGAGTCAGACAGGAGCAGCCATACTCATATCTGACAAAGAAGACTGCAGGCCCAAAGGATAAACAACATCAGTATGTAAATAAGGGAATAATCTATCAAGAAGATTTAATAATTATTAGTGTGTATACACCAAATGTGGACGTCTTTAACTTCATAAAACAAACACAACTAGACAGGAAGGAAGAGATGGGTTCAGAGATAATAATGGATTACTTTAATATCCCACTCTTATCAACAAATAGAGCATCTAGACAAAACAGCAACAAAGAAACCAGAGTTAAACAGAATCACAGAAAAACTGTACTTTGAAAATCTAAATAATATTTTATCCAACTGCTGTGGAACATATTCTTCTTAGCAGCCTACTGACCATTCTTCACAACAGATCATAGTTCAAGGCAATAAACAAAGTCTTTAAAAATATAAAAAACTGAAGTAATTTCTAGTATTTTATCAAATCATAATGTAGTAAGATTAGAACTCAAAACCAAGAGAAACTATACAAGCAAATGGAGATTGAACAACATACTTTTTAATGATCAATGGTGGATCATTAAAGGAATCAGGGAGGAAATTTTTAAAAAATTCCTAGAATCAAATGAAAATGAAACCATTAACCTACCAGTACTTTTGAGCTACAGCAAAACAGTGAAGTTTATAGCTATGAGGACCTACATTAAAAGACCAGAAAGAACATAAAGAAATAGCATAATGATGTACCTTGAGGTCTTAGAAAAAACAAGAACAAGCTAAAAGTCTTCCCAAATACACTGAAATATATTAGAAAAACCAGGGTGAGGGCTGAAGAGATGGCTCAGTGATTAAGAGCACTGGCACAACAACCATCTGTAACTCTAGTTCCAGGGAATCCAATGCTCTCTTCTGACCTCCATGGGAATTGCATGACACAGGCACACTTACATGCATGCAGGCAAAACACTCATACAAACAAAAAAATAAAAATAATAAATAAAATACCTTTTAAACCAGGGTGAAAATTAATGAAATGAAGACTAAAAGAATAACACGATCAACGAAATAGAACTTGTCCTTCAAAAAGATAAACAAGGGGGCAACAACATGGCTTGCCACCAAGCCTAACAATATGAGTTCAATCCCCAGAATCCACATGGTGGAAGGAGTGAACTGACTCCTGTAAGCTGTCCTCTGACCTCCACACCTATGCTGTAATGTGTGGAAATTCACATATATGTGTACACATATATACACTAAAATAAATATTTTTAAAAGATAATCAAGATTGACAAACCCTTAGCCAAACTAACTACAAGAGAGTTAGAAGACCTAAATTAATTAAATTAAAGGGAAAGGGGGGCATATTGCAATAGATATGATTGAAAGCAAAAGGATCACTATGGAATATTTTGAAAACATATATGCTAACAAATTGGAAAATATAGAAGAAATGGATAAATTGCTAGACACATATGGCCTACCACTCTGAACCAAGGTCAACAAGATTGAAGCCGTAACAGTTTTCCAATAAAAAAAAGTCCAGGAACTAAGAAATTTCCTGCTGAATTCTATAGACCTTTAAAGAAGACAGACCATCAATGTTCTTCAACCAATTCCATAAAATAGGAAAGGAACACTCCAATTTTACAGAGGAAGCATTACTCTGATATTGAAACTAGATAGGAATACAACAACAACAACAAAAAACCAACTATAGACCAATTTATCAACATAACCACAAAAATTCTTATAAAATACTCGTAAACCAAATTCAATAACATGAAAAGTCTTACACACTATGATCAAGTTGGTTTCATTCCAGGGATGCAAGGATGATTCAACACAGGCTAGTCAATAGACGTAATATCATGAATAAACAGAATCAGGGACAAAAATAACACAATCACCTCAATAGATGCAGAAAAACTCTTGACAAAACCCAACATATTCTCATAATAAAAGACCTAGGGAGGATCAACAAGATGGTTTAGTGGGTAAAGGCACCTGTGGCCAAGCCTGATGACTTGAATTTGATTCACAGGGTTTATGTGGTGGAAAGAGCAGAATGACTCCCACAAATTGTCCTCTGACAACCCCCACAAGTACACACATGTGTATAAATAAATAAATAAATAAATAAATAAATAAATAAATAAATAAAAT